GAGGAGGTTTTTGCAGGATGTGAGAAGTGTCTCAATTGTTTTGATTTGAAACTGGGGCGGGTCTGGCTGTTTTGGGACCCTGCCATTAAGCTTCATGTGCTCAAACCAAGGAAGAATTTTATTCATTGCTTGGTTGAGGACATTAACACGGATACCTTTTTTCTAACGGCTGTTTATGCGTCTAATGATGAGGCTGAGAGGCTACATACCTACAGGGAGATTGCGCGGTTGAAGGTTGTTGGACATCCTTGGATTGTTGGTGGTGACTTTAATACTGTTAGAGCTCCTCATGAGACGTCTAATCAGCGTTCTTTTACTTCAAGTATGGAAGGCTTTAATCAATGGATTGAGGAGATGGAGTTGGTAGATTATAGAACAACGGGGCCTCAGTTCACATGGACTAACCGGCAAGCTCATCATCCTATTGCTAGACGGCTAGACAGAAGTCTGGTTAATGTGGATTGGATTGAGCATTTTAAAGATTAGGGGTGGGATTCGGTCGGTAAACAATTTACCGTTTACCGAATTTACCGGTTTCGGTATACCGAAGTTGACCAAACTGGTTACCGATTATCGATACCGGTTTGTAACCGGTTTACCGATTACCGAATTACCGGTAAACGGTAACAAATCGGTATTACCGAAATACCGTGAGAAACGATTTCGGGCGATTTTTTCGGTCGGTTTACCGAATATTTACCGAAACCGAATCTCTGGAAGTGGGGTGATGTTGTAATATTTCGATTCTTTTGAGTTTTTTTCATCATTTTAGTAATTAATAATTTATTATTAACTCTTATTTACAATATTTTTGAGGCCTATACTTACATTCATGTATGTAATATTTTATATTAACTCTTATTTACAATATTTTTGAGGCGCAACACTAGGGAGTAGGGAGGGGGGATTCGGTATCGGTAATACCGATTTACCGTCGGTATTTACCGATACCGTTTTCGGTAAACCGACTCCCCCAACTTCCCGCTCGGCTACCGATACCGCCGGTAAACGGTTTACCGTTTACCGCCGGTTACCGGTTCGGTAAAACGGTAAACCGTTTACCGGATTACCGTTTACCACCCCTATTAAAGATTGTGTTATGGAGGCTCTCCCTGCATTGTTCTCGGATCATTGTGGGGTGCAGGTTTGTACAAGATCCCCCATAAAGTCTCTGCCCAAGCCTTTTAAATATTTTGAGTTTTGAGCAGAGCACCCAGTTTTTATGGATATAGTGAAGGAAGCTTGGAGTCTTGAGGTTTCAGGGAGTCCCTTGCAAGTTATTCAGAGTAAAATGTGTAGGGTAAACCAGGCTTTAAAGAAGTTTAACAAAGATGTCTATGGTAACCTACAAGATCAGGTTAAAGAGGCTGAGGGTGAGTTGATGAGAGCCCAAACCAAGGCGTTCTCAGATCCTACTACTGAGCACTTTGAATCCGTTCACTTGCTAAGGACCATTATGATCATATATCTTCAGCTTACGAAAGCTTCTAATGGCAGAAATTCAGGGTATCTTGGTTAACAGTTGGGGATCAAAGTTCAAACTTCTTTCATCAGGCTGTTAAAATACGCAACTCCAAGCGAGCTATAAGGAAATTGGTCACAGACTCAGGGGGGAAATATTTCAATCTTCCCAGATAGTTGAAGAGGTTCTAGGCTTCTATAAGAAACTACTAGGAGAGGCTAACTTGGAAATTAATCCTAGCAAGGAGGAGGTGAAGCAGCTTGTGCGTCACCAATTACCTGGGCCTGAGTGTGACCTCCTTGTTAAGGAAGTCACAGCAGAAGAAATAAGGAGTGTGGTTTTTAGCATGAATTCCCAGAAAGCTCCAGGGTCAGATGGGTTTTCTGCTGGATTCTAAAAAAGACTTGGTCTATTATAGGGGATGATATAATCAGTGGGATCTTATTCTTCTTTCAGACAGGTACTCTTCCTAGTGGAGTAAATGTCACTGCTGTCTCTTTAATTCCCAAAGTTTCTAATGCTGATTCCTTGAAGAATTTTATGCCTATTTCATGTGTGAACCTTCTCTATAAAATAGTGGCTAAGATTCTTGCAAGGCTCATTAGTGAAATTATGCCTCTGATCATTAGTAATACTCGGTCAGCTTTTGTAAAAGGAAGAAGCATAATGGATAATATCTTATTGGCTCGGGAGTTGGTAAGTGGGTATAATAGAATTCATATGTCTTCTCGATGTGCAATAAAAATAGATATCATGAAGGCATGTGATTCTGTTAGTTGGCAGTACTTGTTTCGTATGATGCAAACCATGGGGTTCCCAGAGAGGTTTATGAAATGGATTAAGGCTTGTCTTCAAACTGCCCATTACAGTTTCAATATCAATGGCAGTTTGTGTGGGTTCTTTAGAGCTAGGAAAGGAGTCAGGCAAGGTGATCCATTATCACCATACTTATTTACCATCACTATGGAAGGTCTATCGACCATGCTGATGGCTGCTAGTCAATCTGGATTGATTCCTTTCCACCCTCAGTGCCAGAGAATCTCTTTAAACCACATGTGCTTTGCTGATGACATCCTAGTGTTTACTACTGGATCGGCCCAAGCGATCCTTCAAGTTAAATAAGTTCTGCATAAGTTCTACCAGCTGTCTGTGCTCAAAAGCAATCCTTCTAAGTGTGAAATTTATTTTGGAGGAGAAGCCATCAAGTACAAAAGTAATGCTCTGTTGCTCTCTGGGTTTAAGGAAGGTGAGATACCTGTCAGATATTTGGGAATGCCCCTAATGTCTGGTAAACTATCTTCCACTGAGGTTGACATTCTGGTAGATAAGATTACTAAGCGGATTAAAACATGGAGAGCCAAGAAACTAACCTATGCTGGAAGGTTGGAGCTAATCAACTCAGTGCTGCTTGGAGTGGTGCAATACTGGATGCAGCTTTTCGTGCTCCCCAAGAAAGCATTGAAGCGGATTCAGCATGTATGCTCTCACTTTCTTTGGCATGGAAATGATGTTGGAAGAGCTAAGGTGGCATGGCAATCTGTAGCTTTACCTTGGAAGGAGGGTGGACTTAGGATTAAAGACCTGTTGGCATGGAAGGTAATCAATTTACGCTAAAGGTATTAGTTCAGTTTGTACCATAAGGGAATTTGTATTTTTATGTTATGATACAAGTTCAATTTATACCATAACATAAAGGTAATCAATTTACACCGGACAAAAAGATACAAGTATTGTTATGCAACTTATGGTGAACCCTTTTTTTTAACATAGACATCCATAAAGGTAGTAGTCACGAGTCATACAAACTACAAAAGTAAACCAGGTAGTACGACTGTTGTCGAACTACCTATGAGAGGGTCATTAGTGCCACAAAAGGGCAGCCCTATAAGCAGCTAAACCTGCAAAATGGACAAACACATAGACTACAAAAGAGCCAAAATTTCACAAACAAAAATAACCATGATCTCGAGCAGTCATCTTCTCCATCTCAAGATATTAGTCTCCAAAGATTCAGGCTACCGGTTGACAGATTACTGAGATTGTCACATGTCCCTTTTCTCCTTGGCTACGAACCGACCAAGAAGTTCCCTGCAAAATGAACAAAATAATAGCCCAACAAGGCAAGGCCGAAGAGCTGGGGAAGGCCAAGCAGGCCCAAGAGTCAAAAGCAACAGGGGCTAGAGAAGGTGGCCCGTGAGGATGCTGACCACACTATCACCCAGTTACCCTCATCCTACTACCTTGCATTCAAGAGAAAGCTAATGCAAATGATCTTGCTTGTAAGCCAAAAGCATAACAACATCCCTGCAATATTAACAAACAACAGAAGAAAGAAATACATCTAGCCTCCAAGGGCTAATTAAGTTTCAAACAAATTAGAGGGGAGATCTCTGCACAAAAACCCAGGAGGAACAAACAAAGTCTAAGGAGGGAAGGCAGCCTTAATCAAGAAAGCAAGCCCCTGCATGACAACAAAACTCGAAATCTGATGAGATCCTCCTTCAAGACAAACAAACCAAACAGGCCATCGTAAAGGCGCGTAAGAGCAAGAAATGGTGAACCCTTTTTAGCTCTAAAGTGTTTCATGGTAAACGCCGTCCAAGAATCTGTTACGCCTATATAGGGTAAATACCACATTTGGTCATTGAAATTACTAAACCCTTTTTATCTCCCGTTAATGGAGTTGGACGAGAACTAACGGGAGAATGACTAAATGTGACGTGTTTCAGTAATTCGAGTGACTAAATGTGACATGTTTCAGTAATTCGGGTGACTGGAGTTGGAAGGAGGCTAACGGAAGAGTGAATAAATGTGACCTGTTTCAGTTATTCGAGTGACCAAAATTGATATGAAATTTTTCTAGTGACTAAACATGACACGATTTAGTAATTTTAGTGACCAAATGTGACATTTACCCGCCTATATATGTCACGTAATATCTAATTTTCATCTTTGAAATGGTTTCTCTGCTAACGGGAGCGCCACATTTGGTCACATATTTTATAGCAGGCAAATGCCACATTTGGTTAGTGGGATTAATAAATCATGTCATGTTTAGTAACTAGAAAAAATTATTATCAATTTTGGTCACTCAAATTAATGAAACATGTCATATTTAGTCACTCTCTGTTAGTCTCTGTCCAACTTTGTTAATAAAGTCCGTTATGTGTTGACATGGCTAACGGGAGCGCCTGGTCAACGCCATTTTGGGCCAGAAATGGTCATACCCGACCCACCACGTCACTAAACCCGCCATGTCGTACACTCAACCCAACCAATGAACCAAACCCGACCCAGATCCAAACTCGACACACTTAACAAAGAAAATCTGTCATCTCTTTCCACCACCTTCATCTCTCAATTCCCTTCCTCGTGCGCACAGACGACGCGTCCTTCCGCTGCAATTGTCGGGCCGTCGAACCCTACACAGTCGTCTGCGGCCCAACGTGTGTCATTCCTCCTCATCCTCTCCAGTGCAGCCGAATCCAACCGAGTCTCCGGCGAGCTGTACGCCGTCCACCTGGACGAGCTTTAGGGCATGGCGCGCGGCCACTACGAGCGGCTACCGATCAGAGTGGTACCCATTGACGGTGGAGGAGGAGAGGAAACCATCGCTTCTATGGAGGCGTATTTCGCGGTGAGAAGCTACATGGCGGAGATGTTGGAAAGGTGTGGGAAGAGAGGGTATTGGGTGTACGGCGAGAAAGAGGCGCGGGGTTTTATGAGGAGAAAAGATCGGCCCCCAAAATATGAGCTTTCTGTAGCTGATTCAGTTGTTTGTCTCTTCTTCTTCTAGTTCTTCAGATCGAGAATGGGGTTTCTCCAATCTGGTTGGTTTCTATGGCAGCGGTTGCGGGGAAGAAGCAGGGGATAAGCGATGGGTGAGGGATCGGAGGCCGTAGGCGGCGAGGTAGTGGTTGGCGCTTCCGGGAGGAGAGCTCATGGAGGATGTAGACGCGGGAGAAGTTGGACGTGAGAGTAGGTTGGCGCCGAGGGTGGCGGCTGCTGGGGGAGCAGAATTGGGAGATATGAGGGTGGAGGATGAGATGGCAGGTTTGATTTTGTTAAGTGGGTTGGGTTTGGTTCTGTGTCGGGTTGGGTGTATGACGTGACAGGTTTAGTGATGTGGCGGGTCTTATTTCTGGCCCAAAACGACGTTGACTAGATGCTCCCGTTAGCCATATCAGCATATAACGGACTTTGTTAACAGAGTTGGATGGAGACTAACGGAGAGTGACTAAATTTGACATGTTTCAGTAATTTGAATGACCAAAATTGATATTAATTTTTCTAGTGACTAAACATGACATGATTTAATAATTCCAATGATAAAATGTGTGCATTTACCCTTTTATAGCAACATGTACTATGGAAATTTTGACAAATAGCAGTTAATCTGCTAGCTAGATAAATATGTGGAATCATTTATTTAAAATATATTACAGTGATGTATAGACGTATAGTGCCACAATTTTTACCGCTTATCTGCAAGGTAAATAGGTGTTTGTCTATATTCGATCATAAATAATAAAAAAATTGTTAGAGCACATGGATTTATAGCGAAATACATTGCAACAAGTTTTGCAACTGCGGATAAAATCTGAAAGTTGGATGTGTGGTTGTCAACATTTAGAAGAAGAAAATCACAAGGATGAGCTACAGCGCATAAATTTATATCGACTTTGTATTTGTGTGTGTGTGTGTGTATAACTGTATATGTATAGAAATCCTCGCTGCGGCCAGCAACAAAAATCAAAACATAGGCCCCGCTTGAACAACTTAATCCACGTCTATATATTCTTTCCAAACAAAAACAGGCAAAAACTGGGACTCTTGTCTTCATAACAAATGCAGCCAAAATGCTGTAGTAGCTAGCAGCTGGCTACTGAGTTTCACCGGCGGTTGCCTACTCCGGGACTCGGCACCGAATAGCTCAACTGGTGATGGAAACTCCTCCGGCCGCCGTGATGAACATGATGCCGGTGATGTTCAACATCATAATGTTGACGCATCAAAGTAGAAGAACTGAAACTCGTAATGCTCGGCTCAGCGATATTTCCCCGATGGCTCGGTCCCGACGATATTACTGATGCCGCCTTTTTCATTGCTGATGCTGCTTCATCGGCGCCATTAAGTACTCCTGCCAATGGCTGCACATGATCATGAATTACTCGAGCTCCTGAACATGAATTAGCTCCTAGTGTCTCCAACATGATCACCAGAATCATCACAAAACGTAACAGAACAATATTATTTTTGTTGTATCCCGCCATATCTTGATTTTGGAAGCTGATAGATATGGATGCGTCTGATGATCTCTCTTGGATGTTGGGTGCTGGGGGATCGAGGAACTGAACATTATATATATAAATAGGTGCGTGGGCTGCTTTCAATTCAATTAATAACTTGTGTATATATGGTAGATAATTAACTTTTTGTTTGCAACCGAACAAAAATAGTAAAATACTGATGATTGGAATATTAAATGATTAAATTTTGAGAATGAAGCCCCCCTTGCAGATAACTCTAGTTGCGACAACAGTTGGACGGTTCTTAGTACTTAACCACACTATGCTCGAACTCGTTCAGCGAACGCGCGGCTATACAGACAGTTGGTGATTACAACATGTTTATTATATTCTATTTTGGTTTCAATGCTGTTTGGCTAATTAATTAGCTAAAGAATGAGTCTTATGTGCAACTGTTTAAAACAACCAGACTAATGGGAAATGAAGTAATACCAGTAGTGGTTATGATATGAGTCCAATTACGTGCCCAATAAGTTGGGAATTAATGGACGATGGACAGAGGTTGATTGATTGATGTCCACGTCGAGCACTTTTGTTAGCTAGGAAGGTGGAAGGAAATGTCGTCGTGAACATATAAGTTGAAGTCTTCAACAGAGCTAACTCTTTTGTTTGGATTAGTATATGTATTGACTTAATTGGGAGTTGGGTCTCCGATATATATCTTTCAACTACTAACTAGGTTGATTATGTCCCCGCGGCTTCTCATAGAATTAGAAGTATTGTTTGCCAACCCGTATTTGATTTTTGATCGCGGTTAGGAGCGTTATAATAGAAAAACTCCTGATGGAATCTAAACTGGTAGGTTATTTTAAATGTATGTTACGATTTAATCACGATTGAGCTACGATTTTAACACAATATGTCTTTATTCAAACTTTTCTTGAATGACTTTTGGTATGATTTTACAATTTTTGATTTAACCACGATTGTACTATGATTTTAGCACAAAATATCATAATGCTAACTTTTTTGGTACGACCTTCGGTTTGGTTTTGCCGTTTTTGAATTTTTTCTGTACATCGAGGCTCGGGTTGGAGCAATGTGCCAAGCCGGATTTAACCACGGTTGAACTACAATTTTAGCACAAAATACCTTAATGCTAACTTATCTGGTATAACATTCCGTATGATTTTACAATTTTAGGTTTTTCTGAACATAAATCGAAGCTCGGGTCAGAGCAATGTGTCTATCCTGATTTAACGACGCTTGAACTACGATTATACCGTACTGGCGGTCCAATAGAAAAACTCCTAACGGAATCTTAATCGATAGGTAATTTTAGTTGTATGAAATTATATAACCACGGTTGAACTAAAATTTTAGCACAAAATGACCTAATGCTAGAAACTCATTATATAAAACTCTAAAACATGGCCAAGCATTGATGAGGCCGCCTCTCATTATGGATTAGCCAAAACCTAGAAGAAGAATAATTAGCAACAGGCCAATAAAAAAATGGCTGTGAGCAAAGCAAAACTAACCAACCTGTCACATTAGAATGACCCTTATGCAACAGTAGACACTTTCTAACTTTAATTGAAAGAAATAAATCCCACCGCAAGACCTGGTACTGCACACGCAGACTGCTTTTACTGCTCATGCTGACCGAGATGTACTGTTATAACCCGAAAGCTGGCGCTGTGTGGGCTGGCGTTGGGTGGGGGCTCTTTGGGATCGGACGGGTGTTTGGCGGGTCGGTTGGGATGGAACTTGGTCGTTGGCCTGTTTTGGTCTGCTGGATCGGTTGTGGTCCACGAACGCGTTGGTCACCAGGGCCCTCTCGGTGGCTTGAGCCTGCCCAGTTGCTTGATTGGATTGATTTAAGGCGGCCGGTCTATTTTCCTTGGCAGCTGTGTCGGGGTCTTTGCAGGCGATCGACGTATCCGTGGGTGGGAGACTCAGAGATGGTGGGCCATAGGGGGACTGGAAGGGTTTATTGCAGTGCCTCTGCAAGTGGCTTAGGGCAAGGTCAGAGTATTTGAGGTGTGGACCGTTTAAGAGGTGGGAGTCGTGCCGGTTTCGGAGGCTGAGAGAGAAGGGAGGTATGGGAGAAGAGAGGTATGTCTTGCTGATGTAGACTGGGCATACTTTCTGAAACTGGAAAGGTAATTGAGGGGACTAATCAGGAAGCAGAGAAAGGAAAAAAAATATGAGGGGATAGGAGCTTGGTCAGGGAGGCAGAAAAAATATGTGTGGTTAACCTAATCTACCCGTGGTACTATATTCTCTCTCATCGAGGTCAGAGGAGCACTCTTCTCTTGAAATATATCTTCCTTTTTCTTTGCATTCGTTTTCTCTTCCTTTTCTTGATTGGTTTCATTCTCTCTCTTTCTATCTATAAAAATGGGGTTTCTTTGATCCTCTTTTTTCAGGTTTGTTCATCCCCTCTCTCAGGAACAGAAGGATCCGAGCTTTGCATCAGAGCTGATTCATCCTTCAGCTGTGAATCTCCTGTGGTGAGTCTTTCTATGGATGCTTTGTATTTCGTTTGTTTCAGTGGATCGATCGGAGTTCCCTGATTTCGTTTGTGATTTGCTGTTGGGATTTGAGTGTCCTGGAGTGGATTTTGAGCTATTTGGAAGAGGGAGGGAGGATTCGAAGAACACCCAGAACCACAGGTTCTATACTGATTTCAGGTGATTGTTCCTCTGTCTCTCAAAATTTTGTTTCTGTCGTAATGGTTTATATATATTGATCATCTTTTGTTCTCTCTCTACTTTTGGCTCTCTTCTCGTTTTCGAAACCAGTAGAGCTTGGAGCAATCAACTGGCAAATTTGAGAGGGTCGGAGAGGAATTGGAAGAAACTCAGATCCCCAAAGTATGTTTTCTGTGTTTTCCTGATTGAGATTTATATTACTCTTTCATCACTTTAAATCTTAATGCACTTTCTCTTGCTGAGAGAGAAATTATTTATCTCATCATTAATTGGTTTCTTTTTCTTCTCACCTTCAAAAGATTGGTTGGAGCAAGAAGGGAGTGAGCTCTGCGTTGTCCACGGTGGGAGACTGAACAGCGGATTCAAGCAGTCGTTGCAAGCGGCCAGCTAGGAATGGCCGAGAATCCATGTCTGACGTGGAGAGAACGCGGAGAAGACCTAGAATCGCCAGATCTGCTGCACCTATTCCTTTGTTGATCGGGGTTGGACAATACCCACGACCCGGGAAGACGAAGTCCATGACAAAGGGAAACCAGATTTGCGAACCATGCCGTTGAGAATGGTGTAGGAAAGTGTAGTCTCGAGGTGCCTGTAATACTGATCAAAGAAGGTTTGAAGGCTTTCATCTCTTCTCCATAAAATGGTAGGAAATTATTGTTTGTTAATTGTTAAGTGTGGTCTCGAGGTGACTGTATGTCGTGTCAAGTATTTGCCTTATGATGCTTATCAAATTTACCATTTTTCCTAGGGTTATGTTGCCCTGTTCGTCGCTCGACGAATTCCATCTGTTGACGGGTTCTTCATGCTTTCAAATTCCTTGAGAGGAAAGA